GTTGCAGGTTGCGATAGTGAACGATATATTTTTTCTTGTTCATCAAGTTGGGTACGAGTTTTTCGACGTTAGCCGGTTTATTTTTCCCCAGCAAGTTTCGTTGGTAGTCGGACATCCAATCTGGGTTAACCATCAAACGTTCGGGAGCGAGTGGATAGCTGTTGTGTGATTTGTGTAATTCCACGGGATATTCCAAGTCCACTTCGAGTATGTAGCCTTTTTTCGAATCTGACACGATGCTCATGACGTCGATCGTCTCGTGTGTCCACTCGAATCCCCCGGTGGGTAGATACTGGCTCATGGCCCAGCCGTACAGGTTGTTGGCGTCGAGATAGAGGATATGGGTGGTGGGTTGATTCGGATTATAGCCCTTCACGTACTTGTTGTTGGCTTTCGCGTAGCGTTTGGAAGCCATGGAAATCCCACCTCGCAAGCCTTTTTCGATGAACAGGTGCATGTCGTAATCCGTCAATAGTTTGAGTTTCACACCAGTCTTTTTCAACAAGGCATCCCAAGAGAGACCCGGGGAGGAGAAATACCACGCGGGGTCTAGGTCATACTGTTTCGAAGCACGTTTTTCTGAATATCTCGAACACGTCGGCCAACAGGAGTACATCTGTTTTCAAGTACAGGTTGTGGTAATCACCCAGATTCTTGCAGCCCAGTTTATTCCATACGTTAATCGCGTGCGAGTAATCGTCCTGGGTGATGGTCGAGTCGGTCAAGTTGCTGTAAAATCGGTTGATGGGAGGCAGTCGTGTCTCGTTGAACTTGGCCCAGCTGTCCATGTATTCATAGGGGTAAACGCCCTTCCTCATCAACAGAGGTCGAGTCTCGGCGTCGGTGTATCGATTGGTGATGTGGAAGTCGTTCAGGTCGTTGGCCTTGACCAAACTATCGAGAGACGACAGCAGGAATTGAACGCTGTCGATGAATCTCAGACCGTTTAATGAGAAGGAGATGTATTTTTCCATGTTGTTGGGGATGCACGTCAGGTTGCCGTCGACCTTCGCGATGGCCTGCATGATCAAGTGAGAGTCATACCCTCTCAAATTGTGAAACACGACGGGGATTTGGATGGTTTTAGGATTGATTTTGAGTTTGAGGTTGCACGCGCTGTGGGCTGCGCCTCTGTACTCGCCGGTGATGTGACAGTGATCTCTCACCGAATCGCCGTTCAGCGGTTCATCGCACACGTGGCATACGTGACTGCTATCGTGATCTCGCCGGTCGGCTTGAGTCATGCGCATGGGAACGACGGTGTACAATTTTTCCCTGATGATTTTTTTCTCCCGTTGCAAACACATGAGAAACTTTTCAGCCGCATCTGGACCTCTGTACACCACGGAGCGTTTGTTTTCCCATCGCATCGGACGACCACGTACCCGAACCCACAGGCCTCGTGCTCCTGCGTTTTATACGTGTTTTTGTCCATGGACGGCCCGATGTCAACGTGTTTAATTAAGGCTTCGAAGTCTGCGTAGATGATGTAAGGTACGGGCATTTGATTTTTGTGGTTGGTGAATTTTAAGATGTTGTCACCTTCCTTGGGCATGTCGATTCGTACGGCCGTCTGTCCCACGCCTAGGCAATCCTCCTGGTGGGATTCTAATAAATCAGCTCGCGTGAAGCCGTGCAGGCACCGTTCGCAGAAGTGTTTTTTCTCTCTGTATTTCGATTGGTCTGCTGAAGTGTTTTATCCACTCGTAGTGGTACTTGTCACCTCGCTGGATCATGAATATATTGATCACGTGGCCCTCGGTCACTGGGCTGATCCTGTGCACGATCGTTTTGTTGCCTTCGTGTCCAAAGACGTTGATGGCTATGTGGTTCTGTTTTTCGATTTTGGTGATCTGAGATATGGGGTAGGTTCGTCTATACCGTCCCAGTTGAGTCCGTCGTCTTTGGGGTAGCTCGAAGGTCTGTTCAAATTAACGTCGGCCGGAAACAATGCGGATCTGATCGCTAACCTCAAACAATTATTACCTCTGTTTTTATGTTGACCATGGCTTGTTTTTTCTTGTAGTAGGGGGGGCAAGTCTAGGTACGATCCGCCTTTGAACGGCATGTAGTTAGCTACGTCTAGATAGAGTTTATCGATTTTGTCCACGACCCACCCAGAACCCCTGTGCGTGAAGCGTTCCAGGTATTCTCGTATTGTTTGCAATGAGGTGTCGATGGACGCGTCTACCATCTCTGGTTGAGTCGCGACTTCTTGTTTGCCCCTGAAGTATGGCTGAACGTTTTCAACGGCACCGTCCGTCTGCTGTTTATCGAGTGACATTTTCACAGTGATTTGAAATTTGAGGCTTCCCAGGTTAAATTCCTCATTGACTTTGTCAGCGATCAGAGGCTTGACGTCGCCGATGTCTATATTTTTGTCTACATTCATCCGCCAGCCTCTCAGATAGTTACCTATAGCGTGTTCAGTGCGCACGAACTGTAGATCGACGACTCTGTGCTGATGCAACAGTTCACCGAGCTGTGGTTTCCTCATATGGGAATAACCTACCAGCCCCAGCTCTTTCGCTTGGAGTTTGAGTTGTTTCACCATGGGAGGAGGTTGTACGGGGTCGTGCAATAGTTTGACTAGCCCGGCTTTCCTCAGGCGGGAATAACCCGTCAGCCCCAGCTCTTTCGCTTGGAGTTTGAGTTGTTTCATAGTGGGCGGGGATTGTATGTTGAATAATCTTAACAGCTGAGGTTTCCTTAATCGGGAATAACCGACTACACCTTGCTCTCGTGCAATCCGTTTAAGCTCTCGGACAGTAGCCATTGTTATACTTAATTGCAAAGTCAATCTCTAATTGGGTGTTCCATACTGAGTAAAAAATGAAGCACACATTTTTTTTTTCACCACAAATCTAGTTCCCCGCCCAGCGCTATATTCAGAATAACCGTATCGATTCTGGGCTCAGGATAGCTTTCCCGTTGTATTATTTCCAGATCGTGGGGGGTACACTTATATATATTGGCTGATTCAGTCAAGAATTGTTCTCTGAAGACATCCAGCTTTGTAGTAACAACCATCATTTGAAAGTTGATGTGCCCCAATTCGTTTATTTCCTCTTCGAGTTTGCTAATGATCAGAGGTCTGATGTCGTCAATACTGTGTTTACCTGGAAACATCAACCAGCTTCTCAGGCCAAAAGATTTCGGGGGTGGAATTTGAATGAATTGTAGTGGATCTTCTGCAAATTGAATAGTAGTCATTGTTATACCTAGTTGCAAGCCAATCTCTAATTGTGTCACCATTATGTAAGGGAGGTTACTCCGTCAGCCTTATCTGCCAGGCCAAAAATGGAGCCTTCTTAAAGTTTCATTCTGAGGAGACGCTGACGTTCGTTCAAATAATCCTTTTTCTTATCGTAAATAAGTTGGTTTCGGACCACGTTCACCCCGTGGGCTCTACATAAACAATAATGGCATTTCACTCCAATACCACACATGGAGCACGTGTAGTTCATGAAACCATTTCTAAGACTCCTCATGTGAAAACAACAGTACCCCTCGGTCCTGCATTGCCTATCGGTTGTCCCCATAAGCACCTATTACTGGGAGAGTGTGAGTTAATCGAGAGGTTCAAGCTGTTTACCGGTTAGCAGGTAATATTCTTTCGCGGCGTCATCAATGTTCTTGAACGTTCGAACGTCATTGTTTTCACGCTTGAGTTGATCGTTAATGAAATTGAGTCTCTGCATGCGTTTTTTCGCGTACTCGGTTTGCGCGGCTTGTAATTTATCCAAGGCTATATCGTGCCGTTTTCGTTCCGCTTCTACCTCGGCCGCGTTTGACTCCCGTAATTTCGAGAACAGGTAATTACTCCCAGAAAATGCCAGGGCGTTGACTAAAGCCAGCCGACCATAATAGCGATCGTAGCCATTCTAGTGATATTATATCTTTATTTTACTTATATAAAATATTTTCCACTAGGATTCCTTGTTTTACGAGGACGTTCTTGGTGGCCATCGCCATCCCTAAATTCATGATGAGCATGGCCATATCCTGCAGGTCGAAATCGAGTTTGATCATCGGTTGTTTGAGAACCATTTTGGTTAAACGAGCGTTTCCTACAGCTAGACCGGCGACCAAGGTTGCGTGGTATGCATCGTTAACGAATGTTTTTCCTTCAGACATTATGTATATAATATAAAATATATTTTTAATTATAACATAATATGGGGGTTGACCTCTAATTGTGGTTGCGGTGTGGGTTTTAGTGCTGGTTGTGGTTTATTATATAACATCAATAATGTTCTTGCTGGGCAGTTTCCATCTTGTATACTATTATTATTATTTTTTCCCTCTTTAAATTGGCAATGCTTTGCTGTGATGATCGCCGCCATCACCGGAGCTAAAAACATACCGTATTTGTGGTACCACACACAGCTGACTGGCGTTCAAAGCGTGTTCGATGAATGGATTTTTCTCAAGATCTTCCCACAGGTAAAGTCGATGTTGCGGGGAAATGGGAAGGAATTACAACGCTAAACCGGTCATGGTCGACCCTATAGTTTTTTGCATCTCGGCCCCGAGCCGGGTTTCGTATCTCGCGTACAGCTTATCAATCTCATCGGGAGGCATTTTCTGAATTTTATTGGGAGTGTGATCACCGCCCAACATTTTTTCGAGCAGTTCGTTGCACTCCATCTTTTAATATAACAAGCGATGTTTAATTCTAATAATATAATACCCGATGCACACAAAACATAGCGAGATAAAAGTTAAGTTACACACGATGAGGATTTCAAAGGTCGACATTTAATATAAACCCATATCAACATTACATAACTGGAATAACCAAGTGACCAGGAAAGTGCCGATTCGCGGTCATAGTGACCAGGAAGTTGGTTGGGGATTCAAAAGTGGTATGCACACTAGCGGAGAGAGATAAGGGCCTGATAAAAGCTTTATTTATTAAATAAAGCTTTACAGAGTCTTTTGTTGGAATTGATCTCGTACCCCTGTTGTATATACTACTCTTGTAAATATGTTCACAGTTTCGGCCCTTGGAAGGTGTGCGAAAAGAGTAGAGAAGAACCAGCGACGCGCAGCCAAACAACTGCGAAAATTGTCCACCGAAATGAGACGATTTGAAGTAGCAAGCTACTTGGCCAGGATGGCGAACGGATTTAGAGGCATAGACCAGTCTGCATTGGTTCTGGCAGGGACGAAACTCGGCCTTTCGGGTACACTTGTGAGCTTGGGCATTGCAGCATCGTCCGTGATAACGTCCTTCCTTACCTCCAGAGTAAGTCGTGTTTTTATTTACGTGTTTGTATACACACAGCTGTACAGACCAGAGGCACGTGTAGGAAAAGAAAACAATAGTTCTCTGAAAAGGTGAATCTGAAGTTTGAGTTTAGCACCAGATGTTTGTGTTTCGTACTGCTGCCGAAGATACCATTTTGGCTTCAACTGCTATACCTAAAGGCATCGGGTCGGTGTTTCGATGCCGTTTTCGTGACCAGAGTCATGCCAAAGGACTTTCTTGATGTTATCTTGCCTGGCCCTAATCACCAGTCGAATCCACCCATGAAGGTCCGGGTCAGGATGTGCCTTGATAACCCATGTTTGTCGTAAGAGGCGACTAACGGGATCGGGTGGTCAGGCTCGCTGACTTGGTTGACACATGTTCATGTCATCGGTTCCTAATTGCGCAGATCGATGTTCATGCTGTTGATCACTGGATTGTCTGGTCCAAACTCGATTATTTACAGACCGCCGCCATATAGCTTGAATATGGCGTGCGGCGTAAAACTAAACTGACTCACTCACTAGTGTAATCCGAGGCAGTATGATGTTTCTGAATGGGACAGTGGAAACTGCATTGACACATATGTTAAAATGTTTCTTCTTTTAAAACAGTTTTTACTCAGGTTCAAAGTCATAACATTATATCATTTTTGAAAGAAATTAACTTTATGACAAGATATAACTTTCAGCAAAAATAGTCAGTTCTTACTTTTTCTGTGATATATGACCGATATTTTCTATGGTCTTTGATACTGATAAAACGATTGTTCTTTATGTGTCCATGATGGTTTTCATGGTAACTGTTTTGTATTCTTTTTTTTTTGTCGCGAATTGCTAGAAAATTGCTGATGCGGCTTAAATCAATATGTGTTCATTTATTCTTTCTGAATTGGATATTTACGTTGCAATGCTGGACAATAAGATTAAACCGAATCTTAGTTCATATCATTACATCATGGCTGCAACTTTTGTGTCACAATATTATTATTGGATCAGGCAACAACACAATTTATCCATTCGCTGTTCTGAAGAGTTACTTCAGTGTTTCTAATGTCGTTCATTTTGTGAATGACATAACTTAACTGCCTTTGTGTGTTTCCGTTTAAGAAATATATATTAGTAATGGATAAGTAAGAAGAAACACAATAGATATTCATAATATATTACACGAAAACGCGAATGTAATCATGTTTCATTATATTGTTAATGAAAGACTCGAACGCATGATCATTGTCATATGGGAGGGCAATGAGGAAATCTCAATTTCTATTTTGGTTGTACATGCCATGTGCCCACAGCGTCTGTGTTGCAAAAAAACATGCAAAATAATTGGACATTTCGGTCTCTCACAATCAGTTTAACTTCATGTCATTTGCACCGCGTCCATGGTGTAGTGGTAAGAGCGTCCGCCCGGAGAACGAAAGGTCGCGCGTTCGTTCCTCGGCCGCATCATACCAAAAGACGTTAAAATATGGTACTTGTTGTTCCCTGCCTGGCGCTCGGCATTAGTGGGTACAAAAAGGACTGGTCGGCTCGGAGTCAGTATACTGTGTCTAAGTGGGGTATTCATGCTTAACTGCGGCATGGTATCTCAGTGTGCTAAAGTGAGCTGGGCTAGTGCAAGCAGCCACACATACACACGCATGCATGGCGTCATATGAGCAAAATAATCTTAAGTACGACGCCAAACTCCATTTCACCCCACCTCACTTCATGTCATTTACTTTCCAGACAATGGCCCCTTTTATGACTAAGATACAGACTGCTTTGAATGAACTGGACGGCGACCTTAGAAGGCTTGTTGAAGAACTGAAGAAGAATCTTGACGAAACTGATGCTGCTAACATGGAGCGTGGCCTGAGAAACAGAACAGTAATTACTATCAGTAGCAAGCGACAGAATGCTAGAAAGGCTGTTCAAGTTGTCAACCGCACAATCGAGGCGTTGAACCTCTTTGAGCAACAAAATGGTTTGCCAGGAATTGTTTCAAGGATAATTGATTATCTAACATCATTCTTTCATCCCGTCGTTGATGAGGAACTCCCTGTACTTCAAATCACAGCAATCGTGGAATGTTGCCTAAAGGACACTCACAACGTGACGACAACTGCCGATCTCCTTGATACAATGGCAGGTATTCTTGAGAGGTAGTTCGGTTAGTTTACATCTTCACGGACCGACCAAAGAAACTTTACCTAAACTGTCTAGCTTAAAAGATAGATACATAAAGTGATATCCATTGGAAAGAGCCATCTCAATGAAATCAACATTTAAACTGACAGTCATACAGCTGCCTGATTGGCATTTTAGATGATGCTGTTTGATGGACATAAAGAATTTCACGAAATTGACTGGGAAACTGAAGTCATCACAAAAACATCAGTGACTGGCGGAAACGCAAGCTGTTTAAAGCTATCTTCATAAAACATACAAAACCAGCAATAAACAGGGATGAGTATGTCTACCTCACGACTGCATGGTTCATAAAACAATAGATAACATCATACCATCGTCACTGTTTCATAAAAACACTGTACCCATGTATGAACCATAATTTCTATGTATACACTATAATTACTTTGCATTCTATATAATTATGTATAAATAATTAAATTTTTATTGTGTTCATTAAAATTCTGGCAATCTGATTGGTTAACTGGGAACATTTCTTTTGATTTCATTTCCCAATGAACCTAAAAAAATAAGCCACGCCCACCTAACCGGACTACTTTCGGACCTGAGGAATGTCGGGGAATACCTTTACACAGCGAGGGAATTCCCTTGCATTCGGGTACCTTAATGAACTTTGGATAAAAATTGAAGTGATACATTGTGGTTAACATAAACAAACAACTCAAAATTATCCGTGAACGTTAATAAAGTGTTTATTTAATAAAAAAGTGTTTGTCATAATACATTATTTGACTGGTTACTGTGGTTACCACGTGCAGTCAGGGAACAGTCGTCTGCAACTTGTCTTGCACACTCCGGCACAGCGATGACTTAACATAACATCACTGCCACAGGCTAATTTGCATATCACGTGACCTGACTTTTCCCGTTTGTAATCAAACGCGCATATTCTTAATAAGAAGAGACTGGACTCACGAAAGCTTTTCGGCGCTCACTTCATATTGTTTTACATTGTTACATATATATTCTTCCACAACTGCGACAGTAGGGTCTATGACAGTACATATTTAGATATCAAACTGGCTGCATCGATTGCTCTCCATCAGCTTCGATGACAGCACGTGGTACAACCTATGTAAACAAAGGATCGCTACGCAAATCGAAATAGAGTTACATGTTTTTGGATATTTTCTCAGTGAAACTAAACCATTCTATTAAACATGTTTAGTTAGATGTGTAGACTCGTCACAATAAAAGAGTTAAAGAAATCTGTACATTATATTGAATGGACAGTGCCAGATGTGACGAATCGTCACATTTTTCTGGCCTGTGGCAGAGATACTATGCTGGCTTGCCGCATGGAACTCTGGGTGGGAGAGTGCTTGTCTTGTTTACATTCAAACTAGATGGCCGATTCCAAGAACGGAAGTTTTGATCTGGGGAATTTTGAGTCGATTTTCAAAGATCAATCTACCGGAAACGTTGCAACTCTTAGCACGGATAACATTGATTTTCCGGATGATTTAGACCTGGAAGAAATTGAAAGTTTGTTAGAGATAACAGCATCAACCAGATCTACAAAAACATCGGCAAATCACGAGATGACGTGTGCAATGAAAATCGATGATAAGCCATCCCAAACACATCGTTTCAAACGTTTATCAAATAATGATTTACTTCGAATGGACGACTACAGACAATCAACATCCACAAAAAGAAACACAAAATGGGGTGTTAAACTATTCCAAGGTAGATAAACCAATTCATATAAATTTTATTTCCAAATTCCATCCTACGTATATTTTCTCAAAACGAAACACAGTTCATCAGCACAAAGTTGTGTATTTTTAAAAATGGAACAATTATCAGAATGAGATTAAATTATGATTTGCTATAAAGTTACCTAGTTCAAAGTTTACATAGTTGGGTCTGTCATAGTCAGGTTTCTAGATATTGTTTTCGTTCTGTATATTTAGATTGGTCGTTCGAGAGCGAGGGGAGGACTGTGGATTTTTCAACAATTACACCAGAGGAACTTAACACAAAGTTGAGATTTTTCTACACTGAGGCACAGCCTAAAAAACAGGAAACAAGATGTCAAAATATGCCGGCTGCACTTGCTGCCGAGTATCACAAGAACACTTTAAAAAATGTTCTTTCTGCCCTGAAAAGACACTTAAATGACATCGGGGGAGATATTGACATTGTAAGAGATAAGCAGTTTAAGTCTGCAAATGATATGCTTGATATGCAAATGATATGCTTGAAAATGTTAATCGGATGGTAACAAAGATATTGGTTTTTAGTTTCATACCTCAATGCAACAAAAGAAATACACAGTCAATCCTTATAATTAAATTCAACAACAAATACTATAGGCTTTCAACAATATTTTATTTAAACACAATCAAATTCATCGAAACAGATATCTTTGTTACCACCGATTAACGTTTTCGGTGTAAGAATTCGGTAATGGCGTGACATGACTCAGGTGACTCATTTACGTAAAATGACACGCCTACCAAACCATTAGCCAATCAGCATAGATCACCCCCAAACAGCTGTCAATCAACCAAGTTAACATCGGGGTTGCGAATCAGAGCGGAACAACACAACGTGACGCGTTCCGGTAACGGCAAACACGTTTCAAGTTCAAACATCTGAATTATTACCAGCGAACTGAAAGACACAGTTTGAAAAGTGAGAATTGGAAATGAAGCCCGATGGCATGAAGTTAGTGGAACTGAGATTGTTAGTGGCAGCAGTATTTGCGGAAGTGGAAAGGGGCTGTGATGACATGATGTGACTGGGATTGCGATGCCATGAACTGATGTTCCAACGTGCGCATGCTCTTGTCGAGGCGTTACAATGGCGCAAAGCGTCACGCTAATTCTTAGTTTTTGAGTAGTCGTTGTGTGGCGACTATAACTTCGCACGGAACGTTCATACCTATGGCCACTCATAAACATTATATGACGAAGTTCAAAGCCTGCGTCACTCATGGCTTGGATTGCTGTGGCGCGAAGACAATGAGCAGTGTATGACTGACTACATTGGGCATTGCGACATATGTCAGACATGAAACGAGTGAACTGGTATTTTTTGACTGGGGTTGCTGTATACCAAATGTTGTGTGCGTCTGGAGAACTAAGTGCATCTTTATTACAGTGCGAAAAAAGTGATCCGGCATTTGGGTCACTTTTGTCAAGGAGCTGGCAAAGTGCATTGACGGGACATTGGTTTATATCATTCGTCGCGTACATTCGTTTGTCGCTTTGCGCTTCATCGCTGCTGAGAGTGAGACCACCCTGGATGTTTTTATGTTTCGTTTCGTGGGACAGTGGGACATATTCAGCATTGCTATCATCTACCGCAAATTCAAAGGATGTGGGCGTAAGCTGCTGGTGAAATTCAAGACCACGACTTACAAAATGGATGGCTAAGTCGTACCATACTTTGTGCCGAATGCAGATAAGTGCTAATTTTCATCAGATCACTTGTTTCAATGATTGATTTATGTTGTGTGGGACGTGACAAGCCATGTTGTGCATTGTACTTTAATTTAGCATCAAGCATATCATTTGCAGACTTAAACTGCTTATCTCTTACAATGTCAATATCTCTCCCGATATCATTTAAGTGTCTTTTCAGGGCAGAACGAACATTTTTTAAAGTGTTCTTGTGATACTCGGCAGCATGTGCAGCCGGCATATGTTCACATCTTGTTTCCTGGTTTTTAGGCTGTGCCTCAGTGTAGAAAAATCTCAACTTTGTGTTAAGTTCCTCTGGTGTAATTGTTGAAAAATCCACAGTCCTCCCCTCGCTCTCGAACGATCAATCTAAATAAACAGAACGAAAACAATATCTAGAAACCTGACTATGACAGACCCGACCCAACTATGTAAACTTTGAACTAGGTAACTTTATAGCAAATCATTTTTCTCGGTTAGATCTACAAAATTTAATCTCATTCTGATAATTGTTCCATTTTTAAAAATACAACTTTGTGCTGATGAACTGTGTTTCGTTTTGAGAAAATATACGTAGGATGGAATTTGAAAATAATATTTATATGAATTGTGTATATCTACCTTGGAATATTTTCACACCCCATTTTGTGTTTCTTTTTGTGGATGTTGATTGTCTGTAGTCGTCCATTCGAAGTAAATCATTACTTGATAAACGTTTGAAACGATGCGTTTGGGATGGCTTATCATCGACTTGCATTGCACACGTCATCTCGTGATTTGCCGATGTTTTTGTAGATCTGGTTGATGCTGTTATCTCTTACAAACTTTCAATTTCTTCCAGGTCTAAATCATCCGGAAAATCAATGTTATCCGTGCTAAGAGTTGCAACGTTTCTGGTAGATTGATCTTTGAAAATCGACTCAAAATTCCCCAGATTTAAGGATTGACTGTGTATTTCTTTCGTTGCATTGAGGTATGAAACTAAAAACCAATGTGCAAACTGTATGAATCCGCGTAGCGGATTCTTACAAAAGTTTGCACATTGGTTTTTAGTTTCATACCTCAATGCAACGAAAGAAATACACAGTCAATCCTTATAATTAAATTCAACAACAAATACTATAGGCTTTCAACAATATTTTATTTAAACACAATCAAATTCATCGAAACAGATATCTTTGTTACCACCGATTAACATTTTCGGTGTAAGAATTCGGTAATGGCGTGACATGACTCAGGTGACTCATTTACATAAAATGACACGCCTACCAAACCATTAGCCAATCAGCATAGAGCACCCCCAAACAGCTGTCAATCAACCAAGCTAACATCGGGGTTGCGAATCAGAGCGGAACAACACAACGTGACGCGTTCCGGTAACGGCAAAGTTTCAAGTTCAAACATTTGAATTATTACCAGCGAACTGAAAGACACAGTTTGAAAAGTGAGAATTGGAAATGAAGCCCGATGACATGAAGTTAGTGGAACTGAGATTGTTAGTGGCAGCAGTATTTGCGCAAGTGGAAAGGGGCTGTGATGTGACTGGGATTGCGATGCCATGAACTGATGTTCCAACGTGCGCATGCTCTTGTCGAGGCGTTACAATGGCGGAAAGCGTCTCGCTAATTCTTAGTTTTTGAGTAGTCGTTGTGTGGCGACTATAACTACGCACGGAACTTTCATTCCTATGGCCACTCATAAACATTATGTGACGAAGTTCAAAGCCAGCGTCACTCATGGCTTGGATTGCTGTGGCGCGAAGGCAATGAGCAGTGTATGACTGACTACATTGGGCATTGCGACATATGTCAGACATGAAACGAGTGAACTGGTATTTTTTGACTGGGGTTGCTGTATACCAAATGTTGTGTGCGTCTGGAGAACTAAGTGCATCTTTATTACAGTGCGAAAAAAGTGATCCGGCATTTGGGTCACTTTTGTCAAGGAGCTGGCGAAGTGCATTGACGGGACATTGGTTTATATCATTCGTCGCGTACATTCGTTTGTCGCTTTGCGCTTCATCGCTGCTGAGACCACC